TTTAACAAATATCTTGTTAACTATTGACATTTTTAAAGATATAAGCTCATCCTGACATTACACTCATCAAGAGCTTTCATTTGAGTACCTACATGAATTTTTCATATATTTATATATATCTTATATATATGTATATATGAAAAATATATCAAAAATGCATGTGGGTACTCAAATGAAAGGTCTTGATGAGTGTAACATCAGAATGAGTTTATATTTTAAAAAACTTCAATATTTAAGAAAGTACAGTGCAATTTAACAAAAATCATTATTTAATAAAGCTAAATTTATTTTTGAATTTTCGAAATAAAAATAATTATTTACCTGATGTGTGCAAGGAATTCTTGTTCGAAAGCGGTGATCTTGCTAGGGTCCATTTTGTCAAGGTAACCACGGACACCGCAGTAGATAACAGCTACTTGTTCTTCAATAGCCATGGGTACTGTCATAAAATAAAATACAAGTAAAATATTTTTTTTTTTTCTTTTTTTTTTCAAATAAATAATGAATTATTTATTAATTATGAAAAGAAGTATTTACCGTACTGTCCTTGCTTAAGGAGTTCAGTAAGTCGGACACCACGGTTAAGAAGTTGCTGAGTGGCAGCATCCAAATCGGAACCGAACTGGGCGAAGGCAGCGACCTCACGGTACTGAGCCAACTCCAATTTCATGGAACCAGCGACCTGCTTCATGGCTTTGGTCTGAGCAGCAGATCCTACACGGGATACAGAGAGACCGACGTTGATGGCTGGTCGGATACCCTTGTAGAACAACTCGGTCTCCAAGAAAATCTGTCCGTCAGTGATGGAGATTACGTTCGTGGGAATGTAGGCAGACACATCACCGGCCTGGGTCTCAATGATAGGCAAGGCAGTGAGAGAACCACCTCCAAGAGTCTGGTTCATCTTGGCTGCTCTCTCGAGAAGACGAGAGTGGAGGTAGAATACGTCACCAGGGTAGGCCTCACGACCTGGAGGTCTTCTCAACAGCAGAGACATTTGACGGTAAGCGACAGCTTGCTTGGACAAATCGTCGTAGATGATGAGGGCGTGCTTGCCGTTGTCACGGAAGAACTCTCCCATGGCGCATCCGGAGTAAGGAGCGAGGTATTGGAGAGGAGCCGCGTCGGAGGCGGTAGCTGACACGATGATGGTGTAGCCAATGGCACCGCTGTCTGTCAATCTCTTTACGATCTGGGCTACTGTGGATCTCTTTTGACCAATAGCTACGTAGATACAGTACAGCTTCTTCTTCTCTTCACCAGCGTCGTTAAAACGCTTCTGGTTGATGATAGTGTCAATTGCCAGAGCGGTTTTTCCAGTCTGTCGGTCACCAATGATCAACTCACGTTGACCACGACCAATTGGCACCAATGAGTCCACGGCTTTGATTCCTGTTTGCATTGGCTCTCGGACCGACTCTCTAAAAAAAATATATAATTAAGAAATGACTTTGTATCTTGTGAACTATTGACATTCTTAAAGATATAAGCTCATCCTGATGTTACGCTCATCGAGAGCTTATATTTTTAAAAATGTAATTAATTAAGAAAGTACAGTGCAATTTAACATAACTAAGAAATGAGCTTGTATCTTGTAAACTATTGACATTTTTAAAGATATAAGCTCATCCTGAGATTACACTCATCGAGACCTTTCATTTGAGTACCCACATCAATATTTTATATATTTATATATATTATATATATGTATGTATGAAAAATATATCAAAAATGCATGTGGGTACTCAAATGAAAGCTCTTGATGAGTATAACATCAAAATGAGTTTATATCTTAAAAAATTTCAATGATTAAAAAATTACCTTGTATCTTGTCAACAAATGACATTTTTAAAGATATAAGCTCACCCTGACATTACA